TGTAGGCAAAAACAGCGAAGGTGGAGCTACATGCAGAGCTACCACTGGACACAGTAATATTACCAAGGGGTCGGCTGGTCCTACCCCCCGATTCCTGGTAATAAAGAGAATAGATGGCGATAATTTCATGAAAGTAAGTCCATTTCTGATATCAAAGACGTTATGCGGCTTGATTGGAGAATCCAATTCTGTGAAGAAAATTAAAGCTGGGCTGCTAGTTGAAACAAGAACAGATGGTCAAACATATCGATTGTTGAAGTAGAAAGTTTTGCTAGTTTTCCTGTTACCGTTGAACCACATGCCTCTCTGAATTCTAGCAGAGGCGTAATCTACTGCAGGGATTTATTAAACTGTTCCGAAGCTGAAATTATGGATGAGCTAAAATCTGAAGGAGTAATAAAGGTACAACGTATAAAAGTAAAGAAGGATAATGAACTACAAGACACTCCAGGCCACATAATTACATTCAATTCTCCGAACATACCACAGAGACTTAGTTGCGCGATGTACAAACTACCTGTTCGTCAATATATCCCACCCCCTGTACGCTGTTTCAAATGTCAACGGTACGGCCATACCTCGATATCATGCCAAGAGGAACAAATCTGCATTTGCGGTAAGAAAATACACACTGGAAAATCTTGTGATCAGCCCATAAAGTGTGTGAACTGCAATGGTCCTCACGCAGCAAACTCCAAATTATGTCCAAGGTATAAGACAGAATCAGCTATACAGAAAGTTATTACTATCGAGAAAATGAGTTATGCTGAAGCTAGAAGGAAGGTAGTAATCCCTACCCCGCAAGCAAATTTATCATATGCACAAGCATCTCAGAAGCGCCCAGACGATGAAATAATAGAGAAGATTATACCACGTCTAACAGCTATAATTAGAACGTCGATCTCGCAAGCCATAGAAAACAAAGCAGTATGCAGCAGCACACCCCAGCAATTTGTCGCTCCATTGCCAAAGATAAGTCATGGGATTGCGTCTAGAACTAGAAGTCAATCAGATGCTTCTAACTCGTCTAAAAGAAAAGCTACATCTCCTGTAGATGGATCGGAACTTTCTGATGAAAGTCTCACCTCGTCTCAGACTGACGATCCAGAAGCAAAAAAGGGTACACGAGGCTGGAAAAAAGGCAGACCTCGTAAAACAAATAAAACCGCACTGTTTCAGTCGGAACAACCCGTTCAGAGTGATGATACAGAGCGTCCCAATCAACAGAACTCCGAAACTGAGCAGTTGTCGGAGACTGTGATACTTCTGTGATAAAATTAACTGTGATATTTTGATAAACTTATAATGTACTTTTCAATTTATTTACTTGTTTATTCATTAATTTATTTACTTATTTATTTGTCTATTTATATATATTTATTTATTTATTTAGTCCCTCACCTATTTGCTTATTTATCTCTCATCATCTATATACATATGTAAATATCCTTAATCTTCTCCTGAACCTTGCATGTATAAATAAATCTACTCTACTCATGCAATCCATCGTCCAGTGGAATATTAATGGGTGTGTTAATCACTATCCAGAACTGAAACTACTCATGCAGGAGAAAAAGCCCTTTTGTCTCTGTCTTCAAGAGACCCATTTCTCTCCAACCACGAAATTTCAGCTACGTGGGTTCAAATGTGTAAGAAAGGATGATACGCCGCAAATCCGTGCCAAGGGCGGCGTGGCAATATTTCTGGATGTAAATATCCCCTTTACAGAGGTCAACATCACATCCGAGCTTCAGGTTGTTGCTGTTCAACTAATAGTACCTATAAAATTGACCATATGCAACATATACCTACCCAATCAAAACTGGGAATATAATCAATTGAAAAGCATATGTGAACAGCTTCCCAAACCCTTTCTCTTAGTAGGAGATTTTAACTCGCATAACCCTCTTTGGGGCTCACAAAAACTGGACACCAGAGGGAGGATAGTGGAAGATATAATTAACGAAGCAAATTTAATGGTGCTGAATAAAGGCGAAGGAACATTTCTTAACTCTAGGTCGTGCAACTACAGTGCGATAGACTTGGCACTTTGTAGCCCAAGTGTATCATATCTCTTTGATTGGGAAGTTTTAGATGATCACTCATCTGACCATCTCCCAATACTACTTAACTGTGCCGTACAAAATACAAGTGTTCCACTTGCAGAAAGGTGGAATGTTAAAAAGGCAAATTGGGAGAAATTTCGAGAACATTTGACTCCAATGCGAATAGGTGATTCAATATCTGAAACCGTCAGCAACGTTACTGACAGTATATTGAATGCTGCTTCCGAAAGCATCCCTAAAGCAAACATACAACCTGGTAAACCTATAGTACCCTGGTGGGATCAACAAATTGAAGAAGCCATTAAAGGCAAAAAGCATAACTACAATGTCTTCAAAAGAAACCCAACTCTGGCAAATATGATGAAATTCAAACAAGCCAGAGCTAGAGCACGGAGATTGATGTTAGCAGGCCAAAGAAATTCTTGGCAAAAATATGTATCTGACATCACTTCAGAGACCCCAAGCTCAGATGTATGGAAGAAAATCAGAACCATATCCGGCAAACACTTCGCCACACCTTCCCCAGTGTTACGAGGAGGAAGAGAAGTTACGGGCGCTACAGAGATAGCCAACACGCTAGGCATGCACTTTGAAGAGATATGTTCCAATGACAACCTAAGCCTTGGGGCCTATCAAAGGAACTAGAAATTGAAAGCAATGCACTTGACTTTAGTGAATCTAACATATCGGAATATAACAACAATTTCACTCTTACCGAATTCGAAAATGCTCTTCAAGAGACTAACGACTCTTCCGCTGGCCCGGACTCCGTCCACTATTGCATGATACGCAACCTACCTGTAACAGAAAAACAAGCAATATTAGAAATGTTTAATAAAATATGGCAAACTGGTACTTACCCAGATCAGTGGAGAGAATCAATAGTGATACCTATTCCTAAAGCAGACAAAGATTCAACAAAGCCTGAGAGCTACAGACCAATATCCCTGACCTGTTGTCTGAGCAAAATCCTAGAAAAAATGATAAGTCGAAGATTAATGTGGTTACTGGAGACACGAAACCTGCTAATAAATTCTCAGACAGGTTTCAGGCAGCACAGATCATCCGTAGACCACCTTATCCACTTGGAAACAGCCATACAGAACAGTTTTGCCAACAGGAGCCATCTGATTGCTATCTCTTTTGACCTAGAAAAGGCATACGATACCGCCTGGGGATATGGAGTCCTATCAACTCTCCATCAATGGGGAATTCGGGGACGGCTGCCCACATTCATTGCAAGCTTCCTTGCAAGCCGGTCGTTCAAGGTAAGGCTGGGGGACAAAGTATCTCATACGTACCTCCAAGAAAACGGAATACCTCAGGGCTCCACCCTCAGCGTAATCTTGTTTGTAATAATTGCCAACAACTTACTCCAGTGCATCGATGAATCCATTGGAAAATGTATGTATGTGGATGATTTAACGATATATTACTCGGCAAAAGAAATGGTCACGATGGAAAGTAAACTTCAAGAGACCATCGACAACCTGGTTGAAACTGCTAAAAGAAATGGTCTTAACTTTTCTAGATCAAAAACTACAGTAATCCATTTTTGTCGGCTAAGAACAGCACATAGGGAACCTGCATTAACCTTGGAAGGAAACTTAATCCAAGTCAAAGAAACTCACCGGATCCTGGAGTAATCTTTGATCGTAAACTTACGTGGAAACCACAAATCGAGTCATTAGCTGTTAGATGCAAGAAAGCCCTTAACGTAATAAAATGCGTCTCCAGCATAAAATGGGGCGCGGACAGAGATGTCCTACTGACGCTATACAAATCGCTGGTAATGTCAAAAATGGAATATGGTATTGTAGCTTTTGCCGCTGCCAGAAGATCGCATATACGTACCCTAGAAGTCATCCATCGTGAAGGATTAAGACTGTGCTTAGGTGCGTTTCGCACTAGTCCATCCAGCTCGATATATTGCGATGCGAATACTCCACCGCTTGATTTACGCATATCGCAGTTAATGCTTAACTATGGAATTAACATATGGGCTCAACCCTCTCACCCAAACCACGATATCATTTTCAACAATGATAGCAGTGAAGAATACGACAACCGACCTACTATTACAAGACCATTCGGAGTCAGACTATCAGAGATTATAAACGACCTTGGCGCTGTTATCCCTGACATATACACTAAGAAACCAAGTGAAACTCCACCATGGATCGACACCAGGACGAATATTGTACTAGACTGCGCTATTTATCCAAAAAACATAACATCGGGATATGTTTATCTAATAAATTCAATGAAATAATAAGTAGATATAATACACCTGAAGTCATCTACACAGACGGAGCGAAAAATGAAAGTGGCGTAGGATCAGCTTTCACCACCCTAACAGAAACCTTTAAGTATAGTCTAAATCCTATTACTTCCGTATATACAGCCGAATTGTATGCCATCTCGGCAGCTCTTAAATACTTGCTTGACAAAACAACCCGGTGTAGTACATACCTCATATGTACAGATTCAATGACCGCCCTTCAATCTATACGAAATCAACAAGCTAAGAATCCCCTCGTCCAGCAGGTGATTAATCGGTGCCATAAACTAACGCATAATTCGAACACAGTCGTATTTATTTGGACTCCAGGGCATGTAAATATTCCTGGCAACGAACTAGCAGATGCAGCAGCTCGTGACGCGACCCAAAATGGAACCCCCGTCAGCACCGTACTTCCTGAAGACCTAAAAGCCCATTTCAAGCTCCAGATACATCAACGTTGGCAAAATCAGTGGAGCCAAAGTATAAGTCGTTTGAGGATACTACAACCTACAATCGAGAAATGGAAATATCCGACAGGCCTAACTAGACGAGAACAAGTTTGTCTTACAAGAATAAAGATTGGACATACTCACCTAACTTCATCACATCTTCTCCTAGGGCGAAGCCCAATACTATGCGATGAATGCCACTGCACTCTTACCGTAGAACACATCATCCTGGAATGTCCAAAATTTAACTCTAAGCGCCTAGAATGTTTTATACCAAGAAACCTGAAAGAATGCTTTTCAAACAACAGAAACATAAACAACTTACTGAACTTCATGAAATCGACAAATATGCTACACAAAATCTAAACAAAAAATCTTCCAATATAAAAATCTTAAAATATTAGCTCCAACATAAATATCTCGAAAAATATGTATATGTGGGTATATGTGTATCAAGAAAACAATGAATCCTATATAAGAATGCATTGTTAACACAACTTACCTGAATTCTGTCTGGCACACCAAATATTTTACTAGGAACAGGACAAACTCAATGCTGTAGTAATTTACCTATGGTAAACACTCAGTTTTACCTCCATACTTGAATTAAGTAAATGGGATGATGCAATGAATTATTTATACTGTATGTGATTGTGTGCGTTCTATATATTATCCAACTCTCAGATCTATCCCTGAGATGCTAGGTTCAACTTAATGACCTCATGAGGCAGGAGGGAAGTGGCTAATGACCATAGCTGTCGATGCCACTGTGGGTTAAAAAAAAAAATAATAATAATAATAATAATAATAAATTATATCGGCTAATAAATAGAAGTTGACGCCGTCAAAAAAAAAATAATAATTATAATATAATAATAATAATAGTTATAATAATATAATAATAATATATAATAATAATAATATAATAATAATAATAATAATAATTATAATAATAATAATAATAATAATAACCCGTGTGGAGTTGCTAGTCTCCCATGGGCGCCTCCCTGTGCGAATTGGGAAACGCTCTCCAGATATGGAGAGTACCGGGGAAATAAAATACCCGGGGTGGACAAAAACTAGCACCACCGCTCTATGGGTTAGCACCCCCTAGAACGTGTATTTGAATGCTCTTAAAACAAGAAATAAGAGATACTCAGGCGGGCCGGCGCAGTAGGAGCCGGGTCGGAACCGTCTTGAAGATTTACCTGCAACCTACCGCGGCAGTGAACAAGGACCAACCAGATTACCAACCCAGTCGAGTACACCACCACCAATCGTACCAAGCCAAGATGTCGGTGTTGCTGGGCCATCAGAGCCCATGCCCACCACGTCACAAGGCACAGTTAGGCAAAGAACAATGTGGACAGAAGAAATCAATGCATTCATGGTTCGCTGCTATTACAGATTAACCCGACTAGAAACCGCTATTACAGATTAACCCGACTAGAAACCGCCAAAACTCCATACAGCCGAGAACTAAATAGATTGGTAACTGAAAAATTTCCAATGCTTCGTCATAAGACCAGCGAAGATCTATATTTATAAATAGACGCCTACCACCAAATATTATTACACAAATAAAGCGTGAAGTTGCGTCAGAACTATCTATAAATTTACCTGCTGATCTCCGCAATGCTGACGATGAACCAGTGGCCCCAGTACCGGAGGCCAACAGGCCACCCGCTGCTTCTGAGCTGGAATTCGAAAGGATTCATTTGCTTTATGATGGAGTGGACCCTATGATGGAACCTAGACTTTCCAAACTAATTTATAATAACAAGACTAAACCTATATTGAGTGAAATCAACAAAATTCTGGATTCCAAAATAACAACTGATATACCCATCGAAAATCTACACAGCCTTATTTATAGTGGAGCAGCAACGGTGCTAACACTAAACAAGCAGAAAATCTCCACGGACACACAAATTAAAAATGTCTCAGTCACGCCAGCATGGCAGCGCCGAATTACTAATAAAATCGATAGTATCAGGCGGGACATAGGAATTCTGACACAAAATCAAAGCTTGAACCCCAGCAGCTCAGTCACTAAGAAAGCCAAGGCCATTCTTGGAAGGGAGCAAAGACTCGAAAACCCAACAGCAACAGAAATACTGGATCACCTTAAGCAAAAGCTCAAGGCTATGGCTAAAAAGCTCCGACGGTATAAGGAAAGTAACACAAGACGTCAACACAATAGTCAGTTTAGCAGGAGTGAAAGGAGCTTTTATAAAAATTTAGAGTCAGAAGATCACGAGCCTCAAACCCTGAAAGAAAATAAGGTCCCCACACCAGAGGCCACGAAAACGTTTTGGGAATCAATCTGGGGGAACCCTGTGATTCACAACAATACCAGATGGCTGTTTGATGAGAAGAGGTCTACATCTAGCCTCCAGACTATGTTGGAATGGGAAGTAACAACCGACCAAGTAACCAAGGCTATAAACAAGACCTCGAATTGGAAGGCACCTGGACAGGATAAAATACAAAATTTTTGGTATAAACAATTCAAGGTCAGTCATCAACATCTAGCCAAATGTTATACTCACCTGCTGTCCAACCCTGAAGAACTACCACCATTCATGACCAGTGGTATCACTTATTTGTTACCAAAAACGAAGGTGTCCTCAAAAGATCCTTCCAAATATAGGCCGATCACCTGCCTTCCTACAATATATAAAATATTCACGTCCATCATATCGGAAAAGATATACAGCCACCTGGAAAGAAATAACCTGTTGGACGAAGAGCAGAAGGGTTGCCGAAAAGGATCCAGAGGGTGTAAAGAACAATTGATAATAGATACGGTCATCACATCTCACGCGAAACGCTCAAAAGGCTCTTTGCACACAGCGTATATAGACTACCAAAAAGCGTTTGATACCCAGCCTCATTCCTGGCTAACCGAGGTGTTACAGCTTTATAAAGTCGAGCCCCATGTACTGAATTTACTGAACTACGCTATGTCTCAGTGGAAAACCAGAATTGTTTTAAACACCAATCAAAAAAGTGTAGATGCAGGCACCATTAAAATAGAAAGGGGAATATTCCAAGGGGACGCATTAAGTCCGCTATGGTTCTGTCTGTCGCTACGACCCCTGACAACTATGTTGAATATCAAGAAAAAGTTGATGTCATCCCAATAGTGATCGGAGCCACAGGAGAAATACCTAAGAATCTACATAAATATATTGAGAAACTAAATCTACCGCGCAGAAACTATACCTCTCACTTCAGAAAGCTGCCATCTTAGGTAGTTATCATATAGCATGCAAGGTCCTGAATGTAGCCACATAGACAAAGAGAAACCAATAGTCACACTCAGACGCTTGCAGTATAATGCCGCGAATTATGTTTCTCAGCCACAACAAGGAGTTTTTAAAAAATATTTATTTTGTAGACATGAACGTGTTACAAGTTGGAATGATAATGATTAAAATATAAAAAGAAAAATAGTTTTAATAAAGTTTTCTGCTGTCGTTGCGACTGGCGGTGTCGTCTTGCTGACGCCTCGGGTTCTTGACCTATAACGCCTCCCTCGCTAAGCTGAAGTCCGTCCTCGGACTTTTGAAGTTTTAGGTTTTCCAAGTCGGCAATGGAATTTTCGGCTTGAAGAAAAGCGTCTGGAGTCTTCTTCTTTTTCTTAAGACGAGTAAATGCTCGCTGTGACGATGATGAGCATTAGGGTTGCCATGGACCAAGTGTGTTGTAGACGTCACTGTAGGGCTTAGATGTAAGGCTGTATGGCCGATAGCTGTGGTACATCTTTGAGTGGCTGCAACTCGTTGATCTGTAAGTTAAACTTTGGGCGGATCTTTATAGGGATGATATCAGGAACTTCGATTTGCTCTGAAGTAGTGCTGTAAATCTGTCCATTAATTTCGATTGGGCATGAAGAATAAACAATTGCTGCTTGACTAATATTTCGGTGAGTCTGGGAACATCTTTCAACGATTTGGATTGGCTCATTGTACTGACGATCAGGTTTTTCTTTGTTGGTGGATGACAGGCTGGGAAAGCTTGGCAGTGGTACAATTTTCTAAGCTGGGAAGCTGACATCTTGTGGTGGAAGCGGGTTGACATACGATTTTTGGTCCTACATCGGTGCATGTAGAATACCAGCGATTATCTCCATAGAAAGTTGCAGGAGGCAGTAGTACAATGTTTTCTTCATTATGTATGGGATAAATATGGTAAAGTCGGAAAGAGTGATCATTAAGGATCGGGGATTTTGAAAAAAGGATGAGTAACTGAGTATTTGTGGTAATTAATGAACAACGTGAATTTTCGATAAGTTCAAAGGGATGTGAATTATCTGATAAAAGAGAATTTGATTTATATAAAGATGTTTTAGGCTTTTTCTTCTAAGTCAGTGATTTCGAAAGTGAAAATAATTCTATGTTCGGTTGTTCTAGTGCAGATAGGTTTATACTTCTAATAAGCTTTAAAATGAATTGATTCAACGATCAATATTACGAATTTCGCTTTGAAGAGTAATAAACTGCTGGAATTCATCTCTAAGAAAATTAATATCTTGTGTGATTCTCACTGTATTATTATTTATGGTTTCAATCAGAATATTATATCTTTTTATTGTTTCTGATGCATAACTTGTCGAATTATTAAGCACATTGATTATACGATTTTGTTTATTTTCGATACTGAAGATGTGCCTTTCCAAAAATATACGATCGTTTTCGTCAAGGTTGCCAGTCACTGATTTAATAAAAGTTCCCAAAAAGTTAGCAATTCCTCGCCTTTGACGGGGTCGGATTATTTATGAAAATTGTCAAGTGTCTCGGAATAGAGATGGTTATATTGTTCAAATATTCGGTAGTTGGAAGTAGTGAGAGTCTTGTTAAGGATAGGAAGTTAGTTAGAGTCATTTTTAAGCGTTGCGTCGATAGCAGTTAGGTAACAGTAATAATATGTCGGTGATAGTGATTTAACTCTTGAGCATGGGCCTATCAGTTCACGATAGTATCCATTATTCGGGATCAGGTGCACTTGAAGGGCCAGGTTGTGGTTCGTCAGGATGACGATCCTGTAACAAGGGTATTTTCCTTAGACGTTTGATTTTCTAGGATGGGTATTGTGGGTCTATTTTTGGAAGTAACGGCCTGAATTTTGGTATTGCTACTAGAAGTAGTTTCGGCTGATACGTAAGGTGCAGATAATTTATTTCGGGGATTTTCTGAATATATATGGTTTGGCCAGGTGCTGGAGCAGGAGTGATCTCGGGTAGTCTTTCATTGCGTTTATTTAAAATTGCTGTTTCTTTATCGTGGAGTTTTCGATAAAGAGAGTCAATGAAAGGTCGAAGTTCGTCTTTATGTCGTTGGTATATTTTTCGTAGATAGGTAAGTCATTGTCAAAAAGTATTTCTTCTGCATATGGGCCATATAAGATAGAAAAAGGTGAATAACCTGTGGCGGAATGGATGGACTGATTGTAAATTAAAACACAATGTGTAACGAGATCAGTAAAATATTCTTTGGGGCGTTCGTCCGTGCATAACACGGAGCTTTTCTGTAAAAGTAGAGTGAAATCTTTCGATAGGACTATTGGAATTCGGGTTGTTCACTGTCGTAAAGTGTAGCTCGATTTTGTGAAGGATTTAAAATTCTTTGAAGAGGTTATTTGAAAATTCGGTACCTTCGTCGCAGACTATTTTTCGAGGATAATTATGGTGGGAGAAATAGTGACGTAATTTGCTAAGGATTGTGGTATTCATTCTGTCACTTGGGCATACTTGGAAAAAGAGTCGATGATTGTGAGGAAAGTTTCTCGATTACAGAAAATGTGTCAATATGAAGGATGTCGAAAGGCTTTTGTCCTAGAAGTGACCTTTTAGGGTAATTTATATGGGTGTCTCTCGTATTATTACGAAGACAAATATCGCAGTGGTTAATATGCTCTGAATTGTAGAACGCATATTAGGCCAGTAATAGTGTAATTTTAAATGAACTAAGTGTTTCGAGAATACCATTGTGATTTTCCTTATGGTAATTTTTGGAGATGTCGTAATTGGTCTTCGGGTCTCTCTACATCTTGAACTCGTTTGGTGCAGAAGAATATTTGGATGTTTTGGTTATAAGTATTACGGACGAAGTCGGAATATATTTTTGGATATCGGGATTGTCAGTCAGAATGTAGTATCGTTGATTGGGGGCTATAGTTTGATGGAGAGCAGTCTTGATGTCGGTTTTCCAGTCTTTTTCGGAAAGAGTGATGAGATATTCGTGTTTGGACTTGAACTTCAGACGGTATTTGTGTTAAAATCGGTGCCTAGATTTATTATGATCTGATTTGAAAAATGATTAATAGGTTCTTCTGAGAATGGGACGAGAGCAACGGGATTTCATGAGAAGAATGTTGGGTTGATTGACCAGTTTCTTTTTCGAAAGATTGGTTAACGAAGTCATCTACATCAAAGTCGTCATCATCATCTGGAGGGTTGGCACACAGAGACTCGGATTCGTGCATATTTATTTCGATGCGACTTAAAGCATCGGCGACGACGTTTTCCTTTCCTTTCTTGTATTTAATTTCGAAATTGTACTCCTCAAGTTTGAGTTTCCATCGGACAAGACGAGAATTGGGTTCCTTAATTTTGTATAACCAGACTAAGGGGTTGTGATCTGTTCCACAGTAAATTTTACACCATATACATAGGGGCGGAATACTTTGCAGGAATCGAGTATGGCAAGAAGTTCTTTTTCGATTGTAGAATAATTTTTCTCTGCTGAATTTAGGGTGCGAGAATAATAGGCTATCGGATTTCCTTTCTGTGTAGGACAGAACCGATCGCTATGTTTGAAGCGTCTGTAGTGAGGGTAAATGGTAGGGAAAATCAGGGTATTGGAGAATAGGGGAGTTACTGAGAGCGGATTTACATTTCTCGAAAGATTCAATATATCTGGGATCTTCGATATCGATTTTAGTACCTTTTCTAGTGCAGCGTGTCATGGGGTATGTGATTTTGGAAAAGTTCGGAATGAAACGTCGGTAGTATCCTACCAGACCAAGAAAGCTTTTGATTTCTTTCACCGTCTTGGGTATAGGAAAGTTTTCAATGGCTGAAATTTTTGAAGGATTTGGTTTTATGCCTTCAGGTGTTATGACGTGGGCCTAGAAACGCTACTGACTTACTCAAGAATTCGGATTTATCGGGCTGAATCTTGAGGTTAACTTCTCGGAATTTTTGGAAAATCTGTTTAATATGAATTAAATGTTCCTGGAGGGATTTGGAAAATATGATGACGTCGTCCATATAGACAAAACAAGATTTGTATAGAATTCTCTTAGGATTTCATCCATCATTCTCTCGAAAGTGGCTGGTGCATTTCGTAATCCGAAAGGCATTCTAGGTACTCGAAATGACCGTTAGGAACTGTGAAAGCTGTCTTTTCTATAGAATCTGGGTGGACTTCGATTGGTGGAAACCCTGTGCCAAATCAAGGGTGGTAAAGTATGAACAGCGTCCTAGGTTGTCAAGAATTTCGTCAATGCGGGGAAGAGGGTATTTATCTTCGATTGTGTTTTCGTTAAGACGTCTATAGTCGATGACCATAACGGAATTTTCTTTTACCACTTGCGTCAAGTTTTTTCGCAACTATCCATACAGGGGCTGAGTAGGGACTTATAGAAGGGCGGATGACATTGTTCTGTAGTAATTATTGATTTGGTCGGAAATTTCAGGTAGCATTGATTTTGGGTGTCGATAAGAGCGGGTGAAGATTGGTGTTTCATCTTTAGTTCGAATAACATGTTTTACAGAAGTAGTAACGGTTAAAGGAGAATTTTCTGTATGAAAAATATCTTTAAATCGATGACAAAGATGGAGGATCTTTTCTTTCTCTTCTGCATTCAAATGGTCTGTCCGTAACAATTAAGATCAAAATAATTGTCGCCAGACGATGGGGGAGTGATTTCTTCGAAATCTGAAATGGATGTGGCGGAGATTGGTTGTGAGAAGTTGATTTCAACATTGTTGGGACGTGGAATTTCTATGAATCCGTCTTCAGCTACATGAATTGATGCTGGAACTATTACTTGATTTTCATGTATAATATCAGAAATGACAACTTCGCCATTATTAATGGAGACCGGAATACGTAGTCGTTATTACTACGGTAAATTATCT